CACCTTCAACAGCACCCAGGTGCTCCAGTGATCCAGGGTGCACAGGATCACCGTGTTCCAGGGACACAGGGCTGGTGCTGCACAGCCACAACAGCTGGGGGGCTGAGATTTTCAATTCTCTGTCTTAAGACACCCTGGCATGTATTTTAAAGTTTTGTCAAGGTCAGCTAGCAGATGCTATAGGTGGTTTTGTGTGTGTGTCCATCAGCCAGCACCTTTCCAGAAGTGTCAGAGGAGTTTATGATGAGATCCTAATGAAATTCATGACTGTGGCCAAGGCACAACGTGACCCAGATTCCCACATTCACGGAAATGGAGAGTGCTCTGACCTGACATCTCCAATTTTGGGATGTTCTGCTTTGATTCCAGCTGCTGATTCCATCTGCAAGCTGCTGGGTTTGGGCCCATACCTGAGCAAGATTCAAGGTTTAACACAAGTTATTTGTGACAGGGGATGGGGCTGATTGTGTAGTAAGGTCATTTGAAAGAGAGGAGCTGATCTCCCAAATCCTCACAGAGAAGATTGGATACAGATGTGAGCATTCCCCCCATCCTGCTCGCAACCCCCTTAGCTGGTCATCATAATTACATCAGAGTAGCATAAATAGAAAACCATGGAAAGTGTTGAATATGTCTAAAAATGTGGAGCAGCAGGTATTCCAGCAGCTCTTTTCTAGACACAAATCTTTGCCCTGCCCTTGCACTGGGGGAAGAGGAATTGGTGCTGCCAAATCAACAGCGTCCTTTTTGCTGATGCTTCATTCCTAACCATGGCCAGAACTTGGCTGACCTCAATTCTTGAGTCTTTTGACCCACCAAATTGAATTGCTTTTAATTTTTTTCTAGCCAGCCCCCAAAAGCATTGAAGTGGTACTTTACTGATGCAAATGGAGAAGGGAGCAGATAATTGAGTTTGATCTGGTCAGACAGAGTTAGGGCTGGAGGCTACCTATGAAGACTTTAAGCATAAAAATATTATTCTCAAGAAATCCAGCAGCTTCCAACTGGTAATAACTTGAAATTCCATGTGAAAACTCATCCCACAACACTCAAAATTTCCTCCAAACACTCAATTTACTTTCAAAAGAATTTTCCTTGTGCACAATTATTTCTGTGTATTGAGCCCCAAATAAACAACCATGGGCAAGAAACTCTGTGGAAACAACTGATAGCTGGAATAATTTCTGGAAAATGAACTTTGTGGTTATACAGTAAGTGCTAGAAGAAAACTTTTCTCCCTCAGGATGCAAATTATCAGCGCTCTAGTGTGTATCCAGCTCTGAGCTGGACACTCAGCACTTTCAGGCTGGGGTCACAAGAGCCTTGCTGGCAGTCATTAGGTGTCCCCTGGGTGTGCCAAGGGGACAAAGCCATTGCTGGACTATTCTGTTTGCTAGAAATGCCCCAATGAAGGCAGGAATGATGCATCTGACTCCATGTTCTCAGAAGGCTAATTCATTATTTTATGATACTATATTATATTAAAGAATAATATTTTATATTAAAGAATTCTTTAATTCTTAATTGAAGAATTACTAACTAAAGAATGTTAGTGTAGTATAACATTCTTTAACATAATGTAGTAATACAACTACATTATGTTAAAGAATGTTATACTATACTAAAAGTATAGTATACTAAAAAGTATACTATACTTTTTGACATTGAGTAAGTACTGTTTCCTATACAGAAAGGAAACTTACTAAATGCTAAAAAGTTAATAATGAAAACTCCTGACTCTTCCCAGAGTCCTGACACAGCTTGGCCCCGATTGGCCAAAGAGTGAAAACAACTCACACCAGAATCCAATGAAACAATCACCTGTGGGTAAACAATCTCCAAACACATGAGCAAAACACAGGAGAAGCAAATGAGATAAGAATTGTTTTCCTTTTTCTCTGAGTCTTCTCAGCTTCCCAGGAGACAAATCCTGGGCAAAGGAATTTTTCAGAGGATGTGAATGCCACAGTGCAGGGGACAGGAGGGTGTCCCCCTCGGACCTGCACCACGTTCAGGCCCAGCAGATGGAACCAGAGCAGCCTTGGGATGCTCCTCCCTGGAACTCCCACTGAAGTTCATGTTCAGTTCAGTGCCCAAGGGCAGCAGCCAGGCTGAAATCCCAGTTTCCCTCCTCCTACACAGCACATCTTGCTGCTGCTTACACTGCAATCTGCTCCAGGCTTCCAGCTTGTGTGTAAATCACAGCCTCTGCTGATCACAACACTGATACCCACTTCAAACAATGGGAGCTTTCTGCCTGCAATTTCCCTTTGATGCTTAAATAACAGAAAAACCACAAAAACAAATGAAGCTCTCCTCTGAATTACTCAGGAGAATACGGTAAACTATTCTGTGCTGTCAGATACTGTTGTAATTAGGTGCTTTTAGAAATATATTATCTATTTTTATCTGTTATTTATTGTGCATACTGTATTTATTGTGCTGAACACATTATGCCCCTGACAGGCTATCTCAGATTTCTCAGTGTGTTAATTGCCTGGGCCCTGCTGCTACACCAGCTTCTGAGATTCAGAGACAAACCAATTGAATTCTGACATTTATTTATCTTCCTACAGTGAACATTTTTGTCTGGTAAATATGTAGGGCTCCTAAAGAGATGTTGCACCACGTCACACTAATCCTCCCCAGCTCCTGATTACTGACCAAACACACAATGACAGCCCTCTCAGAGCCAGACAGCAACATCCTCTGCCTAAAGGCAAACCCACGAGGTTTCCACAAGGAATTTAGACCAGCTGTGTCTTGGGGCAATGCAGATGCACCCCAAAAGTGGGGGTTTGCCCCTCCCTGGGCTGTACAGAACCATCCTCAGGGCTGTGTTACCCCAAGAACTGCAAGGCAGAACCCCAAGTTCACTCCCTGGCTGCAGTTTCCTGTCTCTCATGCCCACTCACCCCTGCCCACATAAAATTGGAATAGCAGAACAAGGCAATAATTCTTTTCCCTTCCCAAAATCCTAGAAAATGAACATGAGTCAAAGCTCCAGCTGCCTGGCAGCGGGAATGCAAACACACCAGAGCTTCCTGGTAGATACTGAGGAGTAACTGCACAGCCTTTTAATTAATTAATTAATCATCCCTTCCAGTCCTGCAGCATCCTGCAGATGAGCTGTGTCCTCAGCTGCCCTGACCACAGGTGGGGTCTGGGCTCAGCTCTTGGCATCCATCTCCTGAGCAGCCTTCAGCACTGCTTCAGCAGTGAATTCAGGCTTGCATGGCCCACGTGGGGCTCATTCAACCCATTTTCTCATCAGAGACACCAGGAAACCTCTCCTCCATGTGAGCCAGGGTCTCCATCCTCCTAAGGTATGTGCATGTCTCATGCCAAAGAAAAGCTTCCCCTTCAGCTTTTCTGTATGCTTGATTTAATACTAGAAATGAGAAGAATTTTCATGAGTCTAGAAAGCTGCAGCACAGAGCTTACAAGGGGGAGCATCAAAGTCCAGGAGAAGGAAACTGGAGGCCCTCAGAACTCTTTACAATGTGGCAAGGATTAATGACCTTAAGTTCTTTACACCCTGTACAAACACTACCTATTCCTTACTTAGCAACATTTAATGTATAAAAACCTACTGATTTTGCTTGTAGAAATTCAGAACCAGGTCCATAACAGTAAGTTCATATCCCTGACAGCACCAGGCAGCCTTCTGCAGAGAGAGAAGCTTGAACCACCCTGGCAGGAGCCCCTGACCTACACCCAGCCTCTAAAGAGCCAAGACCTTCACTGATCTGATCCTCTTTGAACAAAGAGGCTGCCAAGTGCTGCTCTCCTAAAGCAAACCAGGTTTGCAGAGCTGAGCCCAGAAGGAGAGAGCAGAGCTGCCCTGGGAAGGTGATTCCACAGCTCCTCTGCTTCATGGTGAGAAGAAGCTGCACCTGCAGGAAAACCCCAGCCAGGCATTGAAGATAGACCAAGGATAATACTGCCCATTTCACCTTTTTATATTCCCATATTTTGATTTTTTTTTTCTTTCTTTTTGACAAACAAGAAGGGAACATTGCAGTTCCAGTGCTGTGTTGCAGAGGAATCCTTGTCATTATAGGTGGGTCTTCAAAGGTGAAAAAAAGCCATGGAATAAACCAGAAAATTTCCAAGTTCATGAACAGCCGTACAATTTGAGATATTCTCTTGTCTTTGTAGGCCATGTATGTGAGAACCATGGGAATTCGAAATGGGCAATAAAATATAAAATACATGTGTTTTTTAGTGATAATATATCAACCTAAGAAGTGAATGAGCTCATATAGCAGCTTTTTCTCTCATTCATAATTTTAATATGCAGAAATGTCTACATTTTTGTCTACCTGGCTTTTAAAGTATATGGTTATGAATCCCTGGGAAAAAAAGACATCAAACGAAATAAATGGCAGCTTCGAATTAAAGTTGTGATGAACACTGTCACAATAAATTCTCTCCTCACCCAGAGGAGCGATGAGGGATTCCTGCTGTACCTCATCATGTTTTCACAAGTCAAATACAGCCACGTGTTCAATTTATAGCTTGCTTTTGGGCTGAGAGTCTCCACAAATCTTAAATGGACACAGCTGAGCATGATTCAAGGCTATTTGGATAAGAATACCATGTTCCCAGCTAATTTAGGCTGGGATTTTCTAGGTTGTGCAAAGGTTTTTGCAGCCCAAGTCAGAGGCAATGGTGTTTCTAAATCCTCTGGGCAGCATGTCAAGGCATAATCTTTGAGAGGTGTTGTTCCACATCTTGTTTCTACAGCCATAACTGCAAGAGGAAGGGATGCTGAAATGACAGTCAAAACAATGCTTTCATAGGAAAGATTTAACCCTTTTCAACACCCCAGCCCTTACTGGCATTGCAGTGTGCGTTAATCACCAATTAATCACCAATTCCCTGCTCCAGCTCCATTTGCTGTTCTGCAAAAGGGGATGACAATTTAAACAACCACTTGGCTAGTGCACAGAGCTTTGCTATGAACAAGATGAATTAATCCATTTAGACAAGATGGCTACACATTTTGCATATCTTTATTGCACTTTTACCACGTTGCAAACAATTCCACAAAAATGCTGCAAAAGTAAGCCTAGAGCTGCTGAAAGCAGCTTTTTACCCATATATGTATATATTTACACAAAACTATCAAAAGCAAAATTGAAAAGTAGCAGCTCAGCTATGATAGTCTAGAAAGATAAGAGCTGCCACCTCCTTATGGACAAATAGTACAACTTGTCATTTTACATCACTTTGTAAAACCAACATTCAAGTATTCCTGTCAAAGCACAATTAGTGAAATTCCCTTCTGGTAACCCCTGTATTTATTATCATTATTATCATTATTATTATTATTTTTTGCCTTTAAAAGTTCATAATGCCTTAACCCTTTAAATGCTGAGTAGCTGGGGGGAAAATAAGCATTCAATTTAAATAAGATACAGTGGATTAGAGCACTTAAAGGGTTAACACAAAATATTAAGTGGACTGTCACCACAAATAAAGTGTGAGTCACAAAACTATGCTGTCCCTCTTAGTTAAATTTGGAAGGTAGGTCTGGGGTTTCATAGATATACCATATATAAATACAAAATATTAAGTAAAGGCCTCCTTTCTATACAAAAAGGACAGGAGGTGTTTTGCTATCAGACTGCTGTCTGTCCATGATTGAATATTTTCTGAATCTTTTCATAATCTCTCTTCAGGAACTAATGAAAAGCATCACATTAGACTTATTTTTTCTTAATGAACTATTCCTTTGCAGAGTCTACACTTTACCTACTTTGGGAACAATTATATCTCATTTCTGAATTCACTGAATTCACAAAGTAGCATACACAGTCTTTTGCAAGACTTTTATTTTTTGTTGTTGTTGTTCTTTTGTTTCTTTTCCTTCTTTGAATCTTCTTGACTCGGCTGGTAAAAACGTAGTCTTGCCATTTCACTACCTCTCAGTGGCAACAGTGTTAACATCAGTGTTAAAGTCATTTTCCACCACGTTGTCATAGCCATCCTTCTCTATGCAGTCACTGACAGCCTTGAGCACAATCCGCAGCCGCCTGTCCATGGCCTCCAAGTGAGGCTGGTACAGGATTGGAGCTATTTTGTCTTTTAGCAAAGATTCTTTCATCAGGAGACTGAGTTTGTACTCCTCCTTGGCTAGCAGCTGTAATCGCAGATAGGTAGATTTCCTGATTCTAAGAAAAGGAGGAAAAAAAAAAAGCAAATCAGTTATTTCCACCACTGTTGATCTCAACAGTGCTAAAAGGCCAGAATTACAGTAATAGTGTAAGAGCTTATTCTGTGATCTGAACTGAGGAGAGCCAGGCACAGGCACTGTCACAGTCCTAGTGAGCAGCTGGCATTGTCACCTGTCACTGATCTTTGGGGGCCCCCAGAGGTGCAGAGGTTTTGGAGCACAGATCCACGTGGCAGAGCAGGCAGCCCTCACATCCCTCACCTGGAAAGGCACCAAGGGGAGCTGGTGCAGCATTCACAGGGCCGTGTCCACCTTGGAATGACACGTGTGACACACATGGCACTGAGCAGGAATGTGTGTGACAGCAGCAGGGGCTCCTCAGGCTCACCCTGCAAAGCTGAAACTCTGAATGTCACCCTCTGAAAACCCTGAACATGGGCACCAAGGAAAGCTGTTGAGAATCATGTGAACAAGCTAGGATTTTGTCACTTGACTTCCATGGCATCTTATTTTGTCTTAAAGCTTCTCTCCCAACATCTCACAGCCGTGTTCCTACAAGGTCCTGATCCCAAAGAGCATTTAATGTGGCAGTGCCAATGCTCAGGGCTAGCTGGGCAGGATCACACCATCTCCTCCTCTCCACAGTGTGCAATGAAAGATTCAATCAAAAATTTTCAGTCCTGTTAGTGGAAACCATGGTACTAACCAAGAAACACCTCCAGAGGGAAAACATACCTGCAGCACTGGTTTAAAGGCACCAAAATGGAAAGTTCATCATGGGAATATTTTCCAAACCTATTTAAAGATAAGAGCAAGAATGTAACAAAGGCTGTTTTAAAGACTGATTTTTTTTTCCTTTAACCCCAGAAGGATTATTAAAGGTATTTACCCTCTTCCATTATCTAAGTGGATAATAAAAGTTTCATTTCCAAACTTCTCAAAGGTTTCGTAGTGATGTCGATCCATGTTACCTATGGGACAAAGAGAAGAAAAACAACATTCTTACTTTGGCTTGAGCCTGCAGGTCAGGACAATGCAAAAGCCCAGTGCTGCCCAAAAGCAGAGCAGAGAAAGCAGCAAACCTGCAGAGCTCCTACAGCAGACACTCCAAAGTGTGTGATACTGGAAGGGCTGTTAAACCTCTGGCAGCTTTTCAAATTCTCTGGGCCTTTTGTACTTGAGCTCTAAAAGGACCATCAGGAGGCAAAGCCAACCTTCCCCTCCTCCAGCAACCCCTCCTGGGGTACAGCAAGGAACCCCCTCTCCATCCCAAGAGATCTCAGCTGCCTGGGGAGCCTGGGTACCTGCAGGGCAGCTGTGCTCCTGCTGCTGCAGCCTGGGCTCAGCAGGGTGTGTGAGGCAGACATGGCACATTTCACACGTGCAAGGGTAGGAGAAAATGCCCCGCACTGAGCAGGGGTGTTAATCCTGATCACTTTGTTAATACTGCATTCAGCTTCCTGAACCCCAACCAAGCATCCTGGTTTTCCTCTGGTAAAAAGTTTGCCCCAGTTGCTGGGGAGCCAGAACAGCTTCATGTTTGTGAAATATGGACCAGGATGGTGCTGATCTGCACAGCTGCACAGCTCTCCCTGTGTGAGCTGCTTTTTAAGGCCAATGTGCAGAGCACTGGTGACAAGCTATGAATTTTGTCTCCCTGGCAGGGGTCTTGAGCTACTTATAGATGCCACATATGGCTCCTGAGCTGTCACCTGGCCTCTCCTGCTGCAGCCCAGTGCAGCAATCTCAGTGGGGGCAATGGCACAGAATGTGTCCATGCTGGCATATGCCCAAGGATCAAAGATGTAGGTTGGCAACTTAGAGGTGTATTTGCTGCAGCAGCAAAGGTTTCATATGAGAATGAGAATTAGGCTTGGAATGGATCGCTAGTACCTGGCTGTAAATAATTATTTTATTGAGATCAGGTTACATAAACAGAAAAATTCCTGATACAATCCACAGCTGCCTTTGTGATATAGCAATGCCTCTTCTTCCCCAACTCTGACATTTTATAGAGAACACTCCTGCAGGATGAAAACAAAGCACCATAATGAGCAGTCCTTGCATGTGCATCCAGGAGCCATATATTATAGGGGCAAAGCACTCACTAAAGCAAACTGTGAAGCCCTTCACTGTTGTGAAGGAGACTGGCCTGACCTGCATTCATCACCACTCTGCATTTCTGAACATCTTTGTTCCTTTAATCTGCACTGATGGGAATACATAACCATGTAAATCTGCATTTTCCCATAATCATCTAGAAAAGCACATACAGTAAATGCAGCTTCAGCCACGCTTTAGCAAACTGCTGAGCTATGCAGAGCAGTGCAGAAAGAAATGGTTCTTATTCTAATTAAATGTTGCATTTAATTTTTGAAAGAGATGAAACATACCCATTAGGAAATCAAAAACTGTCATATCCATTATATCCAGAATTCTGGTCCCACTGTCATATGGGGGTGTTTGTTTAACCTCTTCACAATAATCTGGATCAACTTCCCATCTGGAAAAGGCAATATTTTGATATTTTATGAGACACACAGAGCTTACTGAAAATGACAAAAAAATGTTATTTTGCAAAGATCTACTTTATCATGTTCGATTAAGGGCAGGGTCAGGTAGAGGCAGCAAATTCCAGCAATGCAGGCAAGCAAGGAAGATTGTGACTGATGAAAAAGAAAGAAAATCACAAGACTGAAAGCTATCTGCTTCAGGATTTAGGAGACTAGCTGCACCATCAGTGATATGGTGCAAACAGCTCAGGGCTGCTGAGATCAGTGCATCTTTATCCCTCTGACAGGACTCAGACAGGTCCCATTGCATCCTGTCCATGCCACTGGAGGTACCTGTCCCATGAGGGAGCTGTGCTACTGAATTTGGGTTCAGGAGCACAAACTGCAGCTCCTGGCATGTGAAATGCTCTGTCCCTTCCCAGGGGCCAGGACTGGGTTATTTCCCTGCCACCCTGTGCAGTTCTGCTCCCCACTACTCACTCTGCTTTCTTGCGCTTGTGGTAGGAACGCCTCCAGGGGTTTCTCCAGGTTTTCCTTTTTGCTAAGGACAAGTCAGGCAGGAAAGCAGCCAGGGACCCCTCGATCTGGTCTGGTTTCCCACACAGGGCGTGCTCTGTTGAGCAGTAGTAGGAGCACTCCCCGTAGAAGCAGATGTTGTTGGCTGGCAAAGAGAGGAAAAGAGCTTTAAAGCCTACACTCAAATTAGTATTGAGAATTCATAAAAGCACTGATGTATGTAGGAGCAGAAATAAATCCAAACCCCTGTTACCACACATAGTTTTCCTCCACTGAAAACACTAGAAAGACATTATTTCAGTGGCTGGGATCACGCCCTGTGCAAAGCTCTTTGTGACTATTTCCAGCCTATTTATATTCCCCAAACTTTTTTTTTTTTAATCCTGTCCTTTCTCTTTTGTTTTCCCAGACTGATACATTCTTTGAGAGCTATTTGCTACCCCAGGCTGGAACCCCAAATCCCACAGCTGAACAAGTGGCATGTGCCCAAGATTAAGTCACTTCTCAAAATCTTGGCTTGTTTCTTTAAGACCAGAGAACATTTCATTCATTTCCTTGCTGGTATGAGAAGAACTGGCAGTTTTTGCAAGGAGAATTATTTACCATCCAGAGTCCTGTGGGGGTGTGCATGGAAGGTGGAAATAGCACGGACGTAACGCTGTCAGCACACATCTCAAACACTAATTCCTTCCTCCACACCTCACATTACTCCAACAACCACAGAAAAAGAATCTGCAGCAGGTTTTGGACCGTGTGTTACCTTAAAACCTCCCCAAAACTACCACCACATATTTCTGTACCAACAGGAACACCCACATCTTTACAAGAACATCCTGCCCACAGGAATTCACTGAAGGTGAGAGAGAGCAGCTCATCCCCAATGCCCACCAACACCAGACTGTGCACAGGAATAGGAGCACACTGCTGCTCTTGCCAGCGTGCTACAACTCTTGTGACATTGCTTTATGCACATAAAATGTCATTAGAGGAAGGCTGTGCCTTTTCCTCATGGTAATGCATGAAGCTGAGAAGTCACATTGCTTCTTGATTCCCCACAAGGCCTCTAAATTCAAATATTGTTTCTGAGCTCCTCTCCCTCTGGGCAGGCTCAGTGCAAATGAGGCAGGAAGGGCTGGGAGTAGCAGGAGGTGATTTTCTGCCTGTCCCAGGAAGGTAGTGTGGGTTTGCATGGCAGTGGTGCCCTGCAGCACACAGCCCTGCATGGCACTGTGACATCCCACACCCAGCACAGTGCCCAGTGCAGATGGCACTGCCAGGGGAGATGGTGAGTCAGGAGGACAGGGACAACTCTGGGGATGACAGGAGGGAGGGAGGAACACAGCAAGGAGCTGTGTTTGAGGAAGGAGAGGTAGGGGAACATGGAACAGCAAAAGGTCTCCTGATGCTTTTATTAATCAGCTGCATTGTCTGGGGCTGGCTGTTAAACCATGGAATTATACCAAATAACCACACTACAAGGCTGATGTGTTGCTACTTGACAACCTGTCCCAGCTTCCCACTGATGTCCCAGCTTTCTCTGTTGATAGCCACCTGATTTGCCCATGAAGTTGTGATTCCTTTACCCTAACACAGCTCTTTTGCATCACCCTGCTCTGGCTGACTCACAAGGGCCACCCATCCATCCATGCTCAGGAACAACTTGCCCAAACTGTATATTTATATTTACAGGGCTGGATCATAGCAGTTAAATATATCCTGGCTAAGTCCACAAATATTTACTCTGTGGCCAAAAGGCTTGTTGACAATTACTCAAGGAAAAGAAAAGTACTTCAGGGAAGAGAAAAGGAAGAACAGAAATTACAAAAGGAAGGAAGGGATCACTCAAACATATCTGTACTTCTGAGTTTGCAATTTAAGTGTTTTTTAAGAGATATAAATGAAGAATAACCTCTCCTAAAAATTGTGTTTCTGCTGATTTGAAGCTGCAGTGGGCCTTGGGCTTTAATTCAGCTGTGTCAGCATCTCCCCCTCATCTTTGGAGGGAGGGAACCATGCAGATTTATCTTGACTGCCTGAGATAACTTATCTTCCAGGGTTTCTATGACCTGACTTCCACCTGGCAGCAGGAAGCCAGTGCTCATTTATCTCCTTCAGGATCAGTTTTGTAAAGAGCAAAAGTCCCAGCAAACACCCCCCACACCATCACAGCCTCTGCTGCTCACTATGTAAATCTGACCTTTCAAGAAAAAGGAGTTGTATTAAACACAGCATTTTGCTCAGTGGGAAGATAAATACTCTGTTTAACAGTTTGCTTCTGCATTCAGCTTGGGGAACAATGAAACCCTGCTCTGTATTGTCAACAAAAGCAACTGGGGCTAATCAGTAATCACACTGGTATCCAGGTAAATCTTGAGGGGAGCTGGGGGCTTTGGTGTTTGCTGCTCTGCAAACAGGGCTGTGCAGTGAGCACATGTGCTGCCTGCCACTCATCCCACTCATTCCTGTCAGCATCTTCCAGCTATTGATCCTCCACAGAGCCCCATTGCCTGCTCCAGCATCCAGGGCCCTGAGCAATGGCAAGGTGTGTCCTGCCATTAAGACAGTGAACTTGCAGTAAAACCACAAGTGTATTTCTCACTGACAAGTTACATTTAATGGTAAATCCTTTTCTGCCATCAGTTATTCCCCCCATGGGCTCAGACCTGTGGTACCTACTCCCTGCAGCTCCCGTTCAGTTTCTGGGGATAGCAGAGGTGAAAGGATGCTGAATCTCAAGCTAAAGAAATTAACTGCCTTGATTGATACAGAACAGACATCTTATTATGTCTGCCCTAGTCCTTACATACCAGCAGTAAGATGAAGCAGCCTGAATTATCTGGGGAAACATTCATTTTTAAGGTTTCTTAAAAATGTAAGGAAAAAAAAAAAGAGGCACCAAATATAGAAAAGCACAGATCTCATTTAAGACTTCAAGGTGCTGTAGCAAGGCTCTTTGAAACCTAAGTAGGTGACCCACATTCTGCACAGCAGGCTGAGGGTGAAATTCCAGCTAGAGACACAAGCCCAGCGCTTCATGGCAATCCCACGCTGAGAGCAGGGTTTGGCTTCCCGAAGCAAAAACCAGAGAGAAAGGGGAGACGAGCTCCCCACTGGGGCACAGCCCTTCTCCTCTCACTGAAATTGCCCAAACCATATGTTCCTCTCATAGATAAAGGTGTTTCTTGCATAAGTACACCTGCAAAAGGAGCAACAGCCAGGAATTTGTGCTCCTGCAGGGTGGGCAGGAATGGCAACAACAGCAGTGCTGGCAAACCAGACAGGGAGGGATGTTTGTACATGCTGGGATGTCCAAGTGCTGAGCATTTCCAACATGCAAAACACTTCTTCACTACAAACCAAAATTGTTTCCCCAAAGCACCAGAGAGACAAGAGAGCCCCGTGTTGCAGTGTCTGATTTTCATTATCCGAGGAGGAATGGATGTGGTTTGTAATGAAATGCAGGCAAAAATCATGGTCTGGTGATCGAAACTCCAACTAATTACAACAATTAAGAACCAGAGTGTCTGTGTACTCATCTGCAAATTCTCTGTGCATCCTCGTGATAGCTGAACAATAATTCTTCTCAGGAAGAAAAGGAACAAGGGGGGATACCTTGAAGCAAATTGCTCGACGGAGCAATTCTTTTATTCAGCTTTGCATGACTGCTAATAGAGGACATTTAGCAAGCATATGCAATTGGAGTACTGGGAAGAAGCCTGAATATTTACTACAGCAATGCATGAAAAGATCTTTCATTTACCTGCTCAAAATAATAGGTAATTCTGAACTCTATTGTATGCTGAGAGGGAAAAAAATCCATAATCCCTTGGAATTGGTTAATATGAACAAAAACATAGTGCTTACTAGCTGTGTAACATTGATTTCTTTAAGCTGCTGCCTCAATTACTTCCAAAATGAAGGCTGACATCATTAATATGTCTCTTTTTTCCTAGCAAATTACCATTCATTTGTAAAAGTAGCAGGGCTACTGCAGTCTGCCTTGCTGCAAAGGACGTAAAATTAATTTAAATAATTACTGACCTAATTCCATTTCTCATGTTTAAGTCCAAACTGCCTGAAAGTGCACTTTTCTGCAATCTGCTTTCTCTCTGAGTGCAGCCTAATGCATCCCCCGACCTGCCTGCTCACGGCCATTGTCACTTTTCCATGGGAGCAGGGATGCTGCTGTGCTCTGAAGCTGCCTGTGGCTCCCTGGCCCTGATTTCCACGCCTGATGGGACAAGGGAGGGGGCCCAGAAGTGGAAATGCAGTGAGGTTTCTTCCAACACATCCCCACACTGGTGTGGGAGATAACACAGTGCTCCTGGTGGGATGCCTGGGGTGCCCTGAGCAGGGCCAGGAGCAGGACTTGATGACCCTGATGGGCCCCCTCCAATTCAGTGAATTCCATGGTCCTGTGATTAATTAATATCATCAATAATCACCCTCTGAGGGTGCAAACCAAGGGCTCCCAGCCCAAGGGGAACATCTTCCTATAAAATCAAATTCACTTAGTGCTCGTTTTATTTTTAGAGCTGTGTATGTGTGCATGGAGAGGAATATTCTGCCAGCAGGCACCAAGTGTCCCCATGGCCATTAATTGTCACTGCTGGGGATGGAGATGCAGCGACAGAGCCACCTGAAAGGCAGTCCCAGAGGGTCCTCCACGGGCTAATGTTGGTGCACAGCCTGGTTTGTGCATGTACCCAGAGGTCTCACCTCCATTCCTCACCTTTGGAGGCATCTCTCCCTCAAAACCACCAGGGGTTTGGAGGGTCACACCTCAATTTCTCACATTTTGAGGCATGTCTCCCTCAAAACCAACAGCCCCAGCTGCCCTTCATCTGCCAGAGGGACAAGTCAGCCCCTGAGCCTTCCTCAGGCTCCCTATTCCCTCTTCATCCTCACCCCCCAGACCATGAGTCTCTCCCCAGCACCTCCCTCTTCTCTTCCTTCCCTGCCCTCATTCTGCTGCCTGAGCTGCCTGCTGGCCTTGTGGAAGTTGTTCCTAAAAGCTTAATTTAGGTTCTTTGTTATTTTTTCATTAAGCATTAATTAATGCCTGCCTTCTAAGGTCAGTGTGAAATACAAGACAGAGGTTGGGCATATGTTAATGAGAATCTGACTAATTAAGCTGGGGACTTGTAGGGAAGAACTCTGACAAGTAACCAACATGATTTAACCAAAGTATATTGATTCAGGAAATGTAAAATGGACAGAAAAATTAATTGCCTGAGCATTTTATTCTCCAGAAAAGCCTGATTCATAGTTAATCAAATATTTTAATTGAATTTATCTGAGACCTCTAAATAAATTTGGATAAAGGATTATGCTTGGATGTCTGGAATTTCATAATGGCAAGATAAAGATCTTCATCCAAACTGGCAGCCTTAACTCTGTATTGCCCTGCTCTGGCTGATTTAAGCTGCTCAGTACTTGAGAACAGTTTTGTAATTCTCAGAAATAATTCAAGTTCATCCCTAAGTCTTGAAATATAACCTAGGAACACTAAAAATCAAACAAACCTATTAATCCACATCTTACTTGCCAAAATAGGAATAAAATGGCTTATGTTCAAAATGAGCCAAAGCACCTTGTGCTCAGACAAAATATTTTTTGCCATCTTTTGCACATATTTACCTACAAAAATCAAGCCAAAACCAAAAACGAGTAGAGAGAAACAAAGAAGGAGGGAAAGCAAGTAAGCAAATGCAGAAATGTTGTGTCCCCCAGGTTTGGTGAACATCTATTGTCACTGTAACTATGCATGTAAAATTGGAGTGCTCATAATACTGGGTAGAATGAAACCTTCTGCAATTATGTAATGTAATTTACAAGTGAAGTTCCTGGAATAAATAACTGTCTGCTCAACTGTGTCCTGCAGAGCTGAACATAAATATGAAGCTAAAAGTAGCAGCTGTAATAATGACTTTATTGGGGATCAGAAAAGTGTGATAAACATTTTAAGAGCAAAAGCTCAGCAATGACAGGGCCCTGGTTTCTAGCTAACAGCAAAAAATTACAGTTACATTGGGAGAAACTGTAATTAAGTCTTTGGATCTCGACTTTAGGGATCGGGGATAAACAGCTCCTGGCCAATCACACACAGAGCAAGGGAGAGATCTCCAGAGGTTTCTGCTCCAGATTGCCTCTTACACAAGCCACAGCCTCAGATCAGCAAAGCACACTTGCACACAGCTGAAAAAATATGAATTCAACTACTGGAACATGGCACTGTGCTTTAAATTGAACATACAACCTATAAATTCTATATGTAAGAACAAACTTAAATATTTCTGTGCCTTAACTCAGAGCCTTAATTTCTCCATCTCAGCATCCCAGATGTTAAATAAGAGATGCTACTTTTGTCCATTTTTCCCTATTCCAGTTGTATATTCTGGTGAGCAGGATAGGGTTTTATCCTGTGCTTGTAAAATTCCCATCCTGTGGAATGGTTGACCTGGTCCACAAAATGTTGTGAAAGGCTGAGGAGTGGGTGGTATCACCTTCTGGGTCAGCCCTCGAAGAAAGAGCGAGCACTGGGAGCAATTCAGGTTACTTCAGCCCAACAGAGAATTTGAGCTGCAAGCAGGATATATTACAGATCTATTTCCTGATTTTTTTGTCCAAACTTCTGTTGTAATAAAACCTGAATGGCTTGGAGAAATTAGGTTTGGTACTCCAGTCAAACCCACAAATAAATGCATCTGACCAACAGAAGTGACAGATCACATTGCAATGGGGAAAAAAAAACCCAACCTGAATAACTAATGAGCTGAGTAATAAGGGTTTGGATAAACTGAGAACACTAGAAAAAATTGCATTAGAAACTGTTCTACATAAAACATTTTTTGAATACACTTTGGTGAACATAAAAGCCTCTCTCTGCAGATAATTTGTCAAGGGGAAAAGGCACTCAACTCAAAACAATAAAGTCTTCTTTGTAAGCTATGTCTCCACATTTATTTTTATTCAAAGCTCCAGAAGACAGTTTTATTAGAAATATCTGAGCAATTAAGCAATCTACACATCGTTTCCTTAAGTACGTGTTCAGCGGGATAGAGAGAACAGAGAGTTATTTCCAGGACTACCTGGTGAGATGAAAAATGTTCTCCACAGCTTCTTGTCACGAGTAACATCTCGAATTTCCCTGGTCATGTTCACCAGCCTGCCTGCCACCGGGGGCACGCGCCGGAAATCCAGGATCCTGCAGGAGGCACAGGAGACGCGGGTTATGGAAGGGATTAAAGTGTAATGAGAGTTACAAGTTTTAGGAAGCTTCATTACGCTCTGAAGGCACATTTATCTGTGGGCTTTAAGGAGTATAAAGCCCGTCACTTTAAACTGGATAATTCCTCATGTAGTGTATTATAAAATATGTCCTGAATGTGATGAGCTCTGCACTGCCTATGTAGCGTGGAGTAAAACACAAGAAAAGTATGGAGGGCATTGTTCCATGTTAAAAATGAAGATACATATGATTCCAAAGACCAGAGACAACAAAAATTTATTTTTTCACTTTGTGCTACTTCATGATTGTTATGACATGCATTTTTCTCACCAGTTTTTAAGTGAGTTGGGGAATGGGATTTCAGCTTCTTTCCTCCATAAACACCATGTAATTCTTTTTCTGACAGCCTTAGTATGTGTTTGATTTATTTCCTTCTGCTCCTCTCTGCTTTAATACCCTTATACCAACCTAAACAATCTCCTTGAGACCAAAAATCTTCCCACAGGCAAAGGCTGGGAGAAGAGCCTCTCCCTACCCCAAACTCCCCCTCCTTCATAGATCATAAAACCTCCCTGTGAAGCACTGCTATGAGATACAGGAAAAGAGCAAAGACCCCATACAAAGTCTCCCCATAGGCAGGATTTTTATATCCACTGTCTGCTGTTCAGATTTCCTTCATTGGGTAGCAACTGTTTTTCCTGCTTAGTGTGTGGATATTTAACACACTCCCCGTAGGAACTCCACTGATGTTTTTTTTTCTACAGCACCATCTGCTTAAAACGGCAATATAAAATATAAAGCAGAAGGGATCAACATCAAGGTCAACAACAATGAAATAGAGAAGATCCTTGAAGGATATAGTCAGGATTGGAAAACCTACCCTGTGCCACCCAGTGACATGTTCCCATATCCCAGCCATCATTCCAGAAGGCAGCAACGCTACACAAACCCACAAATAATTTGTGGCCCCAAAGCTTTGTGCTTTTGAAGTGATGTTTCTTGGCCTTTCAGTGTGAAAGATGCTTCAGTGAAATGCCACAGTTTTCAGACATTCTGTTAATCACTAATTAGTAAATAAATCACTAATTCCACCCTTAATCTGGGCAGGCAGGGAGGGCTGCAGTCTTGGGGCATCCACCATGCTCTGCACTGACTCTGGAGGAGGGACATTTTCAGCAACAGGAGCATGAGATGACCCCCACTGTCCTCTCCTTCCCACCAACTTGTGGCACAAATATGCTGCTGATGTGGGGCAGTCCCAGCTTTTTGCTGTGAATCCAGAACTCCCTTCCATCTCAAGGACTCCTCTCTGAATGCACCATTCCCCCTTTGGATCTCTGTGCCCTGGGGCTAATTGGGGTGAGCCAGGCTCCTGTCACACTAAAGTGACACATTCCCTGGGAGATGGGTCCTCTCCACATCTACTGCAAGATCACAAGGGAAATTAATTTCTCAGCTTCTCTTCAATATAAATTCTCTTTCTTTTTGAGAATTACTTATTGCCAGGTTTCTCATTCCCAGAGTAAGTCGCATTGCCTAATTATTAACTTACTCTTTCATCATCTGCCATTTCATTTATTCATGGCACTTGCCCACCTTTGTTCCACTTTCCCCTTTTAAAAAGTAATTCAGTTTCAGGAATGGCCAAGTGCAGCAACTTATCACAATATTTCCCCTTTTAATGTAAATCTGTTCCACTTGCCTGTCGAGATGAAATGCTGCTATTTCTGCATTATGTCTCTCATAGTCTGAGAAGTAAAAAAAGTCAGGCGGGGTTTCTTGTTCTCTGGTTTGCCTGCAAAGGAAAACAAGGGAAGTGTTTTAATGAAGGGTTAGCATTCCTAAGGAGCAGTGCTCAGTCATCAACATGCTGTTCAGGAGTTCAGTATTGTTTGCCTAATGGAAGACCTTTAAATACCTCATTTGTGCATTATTTGCCATGCAGCCTTCATTTAATCTTCTTTTTTGAGCTACTCTAACAAAAAAATAGGAATTCAAGACTTGTGCAGGCAGTGTGCTGTCACAAAGCTGTTCCACTCAAAACTCTCGCTCTATTTAACAAGATCTGTTTTATCACTCTCAAACATTTCATTAGCGATAGCGGTGAAGACAATGTAATTTCATTAAATTATCATTAACTGTAATTATGAAATTTCCAAAAGTAATAACATTTTTCTTTCATCTTTGGCAGCCATGCAGCTCCCATCTAGAATATGCCTCTCCCTTTGTATTACTTAGAGACAAAAGTGACATGTTTTTCTCATTTCAGAAGGAACAGGATCATTGCAGTTTGATGGCCACAACACTTGTCATGTTTCAAAGAACATTAACAAGAGTGTTCTTGAGAGAGGATGCAGAATTTGGTGTTTCTTCAGTTTAGGAACAAATAAAAAATGTCATTCTGATAGGAAGGCTAAAGCTTCCACACCACAGAACATGAAAAATACAAATCTCTGTGTAAGAGAGGATCAAATCTCTGTATCACTTCAAGCACCTTCCAGTCCTTTTGGATGGAGCACAGCTCAAGAAGCTGACCAATGCAACATCTGGGTTCCACCTCTACCTGTTCTGAAATCCTCAGAGGGAGATAGGCACAGCAAAGCTGCCTGCAGAGAATGTGCAAGGGAGGACAGCTCTCCAGAAGAGGAAAACAAAGCTCTTTCTCATTCCCTGCTGCGTGCTGCCCGCTGGCAAATAAAATACAGCTCCTGCATGGGACCTTGGTGCATGGGAGGCTTTGGGATCATGCTGGTGCAGAGCTCAAACCTCCCCTGAAGTCCTAATTTTGGGGTTGTTGGGGACCTGAAGCTGTGTCTGCCCACCACTGTGACTACCAGAGCTGCTGTCTGCCCACAAACCCACCTGGGGCTCTCCAAGCTGCTGGAGAAACCAGATAAGTGCTGTGGTTTTTGGCTGTATGAAGATTTTGCTGTGCACCCAGCAGGGTCTGAAAGCCTGATATCCTTTCTCAGACATTAACATCTTAGCAAGGTACTCTATCTTGCCCTAAATGATGAACAACATCAAGGTACTTGCGTCCAATAGAACCCAAGGTCAGAGTGACCTTAAACACCCCAGTGATGCTCTGGCAAAATGGCACTGACCATTGTCACAGCAGTGGCCATGGAGGTGGCCAACACTTGGCAGAAGTCCTGCCAAGGACACAAAGAGTTCACAAGGACACAAGCTAAAAGAGAGCCTGGCATAAAATAAAAAATAGTATTTTGCTTGGAATAATAGTATTTTCCATAAGAAATGCAAAAGGGGAAGGAGCACACCCACAAAGAGGAATAGGGGAGAGCAGAACTTCTCGCTAAGCAGTCAAGACAAGAGTTAGGAGAGCTGCAAGCTCATTGTGCATATTCCCTTAAAAAATGAAGGAATGAGCCCTGAATATTATTTCAAAGAAAAAAGATTAACCTATTTCTTCTGGCCTTAAAATTATATATTTGTATGTAACCTTCCCTCCTCTCCAGGTTTTAAAAGGGTTGATTTCTTCAACAAATCCTCACTCCAAGATTTTGCAAACTTCACACACATCAAGAACAACAGAGAAGGTGCAGAAAATATTACTAATTAGCTAATCAATGCCATCTGCTTTTTATCTCCTGGACACTTTAGAAGAAACCATGGCTGTTCCTTTATGAGAAAATCTTGCTGCAGAAAATCAGACTGAGCTGGGGGTTGGATCTCAGCCTGGCAAGCACAGCCCTGCCCTGCTCACTGTGCTCCCTGCCACCCCAGCAAGGGCTGAGGATATTTTTCATTTGAGAATAAGTACAGCTGTCCTGCAGGCTCAGGCTTGTGTGTACATATTTTCCTGCTGTCATAATGTATTATTAAGTGGTTGCACACCCTCCTAAGGAAATAATGGAAATGATTGCCCTAAAACCTTCAAAAAATGGGCACCGAATCCACAGTGCAATACAGACAATGGAAATACCAGTGTTTTTTGAACCTGATGACACATCATGAAACAACTCCCAAGTTTCTTCAGTGCTTAAGGTGCTTCCCTCTACAAAAAGCCACTTTTCACATGGTCCATGCCCATGTCCAACACGTGGTACCCACTTCTCTGCCTCTTGAAAATACCATGTTATTCAGAATGTAGACTGGAAGGAGGATTTGCCAGCTCCCCAAGATGCTTTACATTCCTTATATTCCCCTGAAGAGCTCTCCAGAACTAAGATGCAGCAGATCCAAACATGAAACCCTCCCCTGAAACAACCTTGAAAAATCCTTTGTGCTGACTTACGCCAATCTTCCACAGCTATAACAGAAACCTGGTTTCTTGGATCTAATATTAACTAGGCAGGTTTTTACTCAAGCAGACATTTATTTTTAATTTGATGTCTGCAGCAGTACCTGAAGAGGTTCCTTGGGAATCCCCCAGGCAGAGCAAGCTGCCACAGCACCAGCAAACACTAACGTGTGTGTGGGTTGGAGCCCAAGAAACACAAGTGAACTCACAAAGCCACAGAGCTCTGAACCAATTCACAGAGAATATGGGAATGGCTTCAAGTGTCAAAGCGCACCTACATCATAATCTAGAATGTTTACTTTATCCAACTGCATTGATATATAATTTTATTTTATCCATGTTAAAAATTGCCTTTTTTTTTAAATTGTGCACAATCTAATCAAGTCTGGTTTTTGCCTATTCTAATGATTTATTCTGATGTAAAAATATAGAGAGGTGGAAGATTAAACTTCTCTCAGCGAGTCCATTCAGTTAGATCATGGTAACTAGTCTTCAGCCCCTAAGTGACAGGCTGGGAAAGGGGAATGAACTCCCAGACCCTTCCAGGTCAAGTAAAACATCTTTTAAAACAACACTGGAACTGATCCACACCAATGCATGTTTTAAATCAGAATTGCATTTTAAAAGAGAAAAAACGCCTACCCCTACATACAAGTTAGTTTGATTTTATCTGATGGTTATTGAAGGTTATTGTCTAATAAAATGACACATATGATGAGATACTTGAGCCAAGAGACCACCACAACTTCTGAGGGACAATGAATTCCATTCTGAACTCCCCAGTGCCAGCAGTGCCATCCCACCCCGAGCAGGGACAGGTTCTGCACAGGTTGCAGACGGTGGGAGAGGATTTCTGGCAGTAGCTCTTATTTTGCAAACAGTTGGAATCTGGTGGTCCTCTCTGTGGAGAAGGATTTGGCAGATATTTATAACGGCAGGCTGGAAAGCTCTGGAGGAGAGACAGATGGAGGTCTGTTGATACTGCACACAGTTAAAAATTACACGGTGGCACCAGCCCAATTACAGCATGAGGAAAAGACAAATCAGCACGGGAACACGTGTAGGGAAGAAGGAAGAACTAAGGGGAATCAAAGCCCATGAAGATTTTCCCACCATGGCACAACTCAGAGAACACATAGGAAGCAAAGAATGATTTTAAACAGGACAGGGACACGTTTGTGTTGACACAAGACAAGATGCAACTGTGATCTGATCTGGTGGCTATAGAAGTGAGTCATGCTTACAAACAGAAGAGAGAAAGCTGCTCTGATAAATGAACAGTCATGAATAAATCTGGTGAGTCAGCTCCTTTCTAGCAATGGTTGGGACCTGGTTGGGTGTTCAGTAGTATTTGGATAAATCAACATAGTCATTTGTGTTCAGAAATAATTGGAAATTATTTCTCAATCTTGAGAAATAATTATTCATATTTATATTTCAAGCTTCTCTTCAATGCCTCTGTAATTTTTTTCTTTTATTTTTGCCAATTACTTGGTCCCCCAGCCTCAACATTAATAACTTCTCAGGAGTTTTCTTTTTGCTGTTCATGAACCAAATCAGCACAGGGCAACTGCAGGCTCTGCAGACACTCTGGTATTTCAGAAAATAGTATTATAAAAACTAAACTTCTGCCATGGAAATCTGTATTTAGTTTCTAGGATCACTAACATACACCTGCCTAAACTACCAGGATTAATACCCACCAGGGCTGTGTATTACTCGAAAGAATCCTGCTCAGTGCCAGACTTCCTCTGCTCTGGAGGGGTTCTATTATCTGTACAGCAGCCAGAAAGACAGAAAATAGGGCAAAGAGCCCAAAGTGAGCTAAGTGCTATCCTGACAGACACATGCTGTCCTCCCATGCTGCAGTCCAGAGCCATCTCTGAGACACCTCTTGTGTCAAACCCACATCCCTGAGCTGAGGAGAGGAAGTGCTGCTGCTTGGAAAACAGCTCCTTTTAAACAGGCTGCCCTCGTGTTCTGACACATAATCAGGGGAATCAGCTGCTGGGATTAGGGATGATTAGGGAGCACGACAAGGAGCTTTGCAGCAGCAGGGAGCAGGTTTGCTTGGGTCAGGCCATTTTGCAGACAGAGCCCCTGCCTGACCCAGCCAGGGGAATTGGGCAGCAGCAAACTCACTAAGAGATATAAACCAGTGAGGCTTTGTAATTGCATTGGCAGGGACAGGACTAACACTGATAGGAGCATAATTTGGCTATGGGAACAGATAACAGGAGATTAACTGGGTCCACCCACAGCTATAGGCTGCTATTCTTCTCCTTTGGAAAGCAGCTTTCCTCTCTTCCTGTGGAGCACTTAAATACCTGTCCTGAAGCCCAGTTGCAGGCTTAACATTTCATACACAGTGTTACCTAAATGATAAAACATAGCTAATACCAGACTAAAAGGATAGTTACTGCAAGGCTCAAAGGTGGCCACTCAGCAGTTTGCTGCAGTTTCAATGATTTTATGGCCTGGAATGGACTTGGGAAGTCACAAGCAGCCCCTTGATCCAGCACAGATGCTCCATC